CGGCGTGCGCCCCTGGGCAGCGACAGGCCTGGGGCCTGACCCCACTTCCACAGCTGCGGAGCAACCCGCGCTTGCCCGCCAGAAGGAATGGTGCTTTCGGCTCCTGTCAGGGCTGCTTCCTTTCCCAATAAGCAGCGTTTCGCCTCATTCTCTCCTCTCGTTTGTTATCCTGTCACTGAAATCGGGAAGAATGAACCTCGTAACACCAATGTAGTGTTAGAAGGCCGGCATTCTTTATGCTCGGCACCGGATGCACGGGGGATCGCTCCACCTAACGTGCAGCCCATCAAGCGGCAACTTGCCCGTTTATATGTAGCAAAGTATTACATATGTATGAAGCTTCTCGATATGCCTATACATATGCATAACCTGTCTCCACTTTGTATTAAAATTAGCTTCAGGAGGTCATTTCCATAAGTCCCTCCCCACTGCGACTGCTCAGTGCCTCCTGGTGGTCATCGTCGGGGGTCGTGGGGATGAAGGCCGATGGCTCCTCTTCGTCACCGCCAGGAACCCCTTGTTCTCACGCAAAATCAGTTGCTCCTTGGCTCTTGCCCAAACTGCCGGGTCGGTGTAGACCAGCTCTTGAGGTAAACACCTGGTTCTTATCAAAAACTGTCCTTCGTAAGGAGCCACAAATCTTCCTGCATCAGTTAGTTCTCATTCCTTCCAGTCTGGCAACCTTGGCAAACCGTTATTATCCCTTTGCTTCATCCCCTCCCGATTCTTCCCGTCCTTGAATAGGGTTCTAAATTCACTAAGTAACTATACTACAGACTTTAAGGAAAAAAACAAACACATCCAAGCTAGACACTACTGACTTTAGCAAAGCAACAGCAAGCTAGACAATAAGGCCTAAATTTTATGCATGTAAGCCATTTTACATCTGGGGTCTTTTGACCCTTAAGGTATCAATCCCGCAGCCCAAACCCCTGCCGAATGCTGCCCCTGGGGCAGGGCTGTTTGGCAGCGCAATCCTGCAGGCTCACTGGGTCACGACAGGCAATGGACACTGCTCCGAGGTGCTCTCGTTTAAAAACACCTCTGCCTTCCCTGCCCACGGCGGTGGCAAAGTCCCCCCAGGTGCGCCTCTCGCACAGCCCAAACGCCTCACAACACAGACTGGAGCGCATCAGCCTTAAATTAAGCTTCTAACCCACATCAACAACTCACTGCGCTTTCCCGGGTGCTCACCACAGCGCAGGTCACACACACACATAAGCAGAGAGGCAACATGTCTCTAGGTAGTTATTTATTTTGAAAGAGACTGGCTCAGCGTGCTGCTACACAGGCGTCCCCTCGCCCTGCGCGCTCTGCGCCTGTTTCTCCTTTTCAGGTCTCGCTCTTGCTTGCCGCTCTCTTCTCTGCTTCAGCCTCTCGGCTGCTTTCAGCTTCCGCGCCTCCTGAAAAACCTGCGGGAGGAGCACAAGGAGGTGAGAGAAGGGGAGGGACAAAGCTGCCTGCTGCTGAGGTGGCACTTAGGGAGGTGGCTTAGTGGCGGCCTTGGCAGTGCTGGGGTAACGGTTGGACTTTATCTGGTCTTTTCCAACCTAAACGATTCCATGAGCAGAGCTGCTCCACCACCGCTGCTTGCTGCTGCGCGCAGCCCGGATCCGAGTCCCTGCAGCAGGGGCCAGGAGGCACGCCGTGCAGCGAGACCAGCTCCTTCCCCTGCGCCTCCCCCGGGACTCCAGCCAGCCCTGTTCTCAGGGTACCGTTCGGAGGTATTCCGTTACAGCTTCCCAGTCTTTTGGTAATAATTTATTGGCCTGAAATTTAGTATTTACGGACTGAAGGCATGTCCAGCTTTTTGATTGTGCTCAGTCACCCTAAGGTATGTCACACACAGCTGTTACACCAATGTATTTAGAGCAAAGGAGCACAGACAGTGGGTATATGTGCATTTCTGTTCCAAAGTTGCCATCGGATTTAATTGTCTGACGTATTAGTTCCCCATACCAAGCTCTGGAAAAAAAGCTGCTTTGAATCATACATTTCTGAGCAAACCAGGAGCACAGCCTGAAGTTCTCGAGCACGGCACACCCGCAGCACACGCCTCCCTGCCCACTACGTAACTGTCTTTTGTGGAGCTCTTCGCTGAGCTCATCTATTTCTCCACAGGCATTATCATTGTCTCCCCAAATTCAGAGCACAGATTAAAAGGACTTCTCTATCGGTCCTTTCCAACTGTCTTAATTACGCCCTTCTATAAGGAGGTTTCTTTCCTACTGGGCGACATGGCTCCCTCTCCATACGGCTCCATACCTTGAGGCAGAAGGCCTTCTTCACCACCCAGCGCTTGGTGATCCTTCTGGAGTAGGGAGGGGGTAGGGTGTACTGGATATTCAGCTGCTTGCAGGTGTTCTCAAAGGTATCATAGCGGACACGGCGAAGGTACGCAAGTAGCTTCTTCCGGTGATCTACATCCATCAGCATGCGACGACGGTTACTTTTATCCTGCAAAGGACTTAGCATTCACTAGACTGCAGACAGATTACACTTCCATTCCAATAAATTACTTAGACTAGACCAGATTATGGCTGAAAGGGAACAGTCAGGTTACGGGCAGTATCTTAGAATGATTTTTCTTGGCAGATACTGCAAGCACATTAGGTCACTACAAGGAGATCCGAGATGACCTAATTTACTTCTCACTGAAACTGCTTTCTTCATTCTGTGCCTGCACCTTCCTCCCCCAACCCTGAAGACTGTTTCCAACTTGTATGCAGCTTCAGGCAGTGGCAAAAGCTGCAGTGGCTTGGAGGCAAAGGCTGTAGGGAAGCTCTACTGGCTGAAAACTCTGCTTCCCCTGAAGTGCATTGTTACAGAAATAACACAGAAGCATTTACCTTTGTTCTTCCAGAAATTAAAAGTGAAAATAAACTGTGACTTGGCTCTACCTGACTATTTGGGTTGTTCTTTGGAAGAGAATACGTGCAGCTTGAGCCATGCCATTCGGGGCAATCACCCCTGGAAGGAATTTCCATATCCTATACAGTCAATTTGTGTAAGAAACAGGCTTCATCCAAGTGGTTTCAAAAGGTCTCTTCTGCCGAGACATTTGGTAGAAATTCTGGCTTCTTATAAAAACTGCATTCTATTATGTTTTACCTTCAAGCTTTTATGATTAACCAATAATTACGCACTTTTTTCAAATGCAGTTGATTAATCCATTTTCCACCTTTTGCACTGCAGAAAGTCTCTTTAATACGTCTTGTTCATAAGACTTGTAGTTGTGGCGTTTCAAATTTGGGCTCTGAACCCAGGTAGCTTTAGGTAGGAAAGCGGTCGTTATGACATTAACAGAGTCCTGTCCACTAAATGTTTTCATAGGCAGAACGAAGAGAATACAGCTGCTGAAGTGACAACAAGAATTACACTGAAGACTAAGCAGTGAGGCCACATCTGCAGCAAGGATAAATTTAGCTAAACTCAGTTCAAGGTTATCTGCTCAGCCACTTCCACCAACCCAGTAACAACAAATAAAACACACTCGACACTGGAGTTGGTGAGAACGTCGCTGTGACTGAGCCAGCGGTTTCCCAGACAGGCACCAGGGAACAGTTATAACTATTTTATAAACCTTCTTAGGAAAGCCATAATCCCCAGAATTAAAATCCTTTTGTTCTAAACTGAGAAAACAACCTGAACAGCTGCTCCCTCAGACGTGTGGGCTCAGATTACTGATAGTTACCTTGGGATGCCTCTGAAGATGCTCCTCGTAAGTGCGTATCTTGGCAGTCAACTTAGCAACTATAAAGAACAGAAGCAGCCGTGTGAGAGCAGCAGCTTTCCAGGGTGAGACAGTATCATTTGCATTCCCTTCAAGCCACCAGCTGAGGACGGCTGTTCTTGTGGGCACGCACCGCACCACAGCAAGTATTACCGCACAGCCCTCTCAATAAATGCAAAACAAAGCACAAAATATAACCTACACAACCCGAGTCAGAACTACTACTGTTATGAAGCTGCTTAATTAGAGGTTAAAACGTTAACTTCATGGGATCTGTTGTTATCTGTGAAATGCCTCTTGCATTACTGATGACTTATATTCATTCCACTTCACTTGGTTTAAGTGGTTCCTCCCTTTGGAGGAACAGACACAAATTAAGAGGTTCTTTCTAAGAGCAGCAGACAGCTCTTTGTGATTTCAGGCTTTGGAGAAAGGTCCTGGTTGCATCCTGAGAAACTGAAGGCCTTTATTAATGATGAAGCAGCGCATCTTGGTCGACGGCAGCGCGGCCTTCATCCCTGCGCTGTCCCTGCACTGTGCTTTCGCCAGAGCTCTCTGATGCAGAGGGAAATGTGGGTTCCGTGGCTAAATCCAGTAGTTTATTTTGGTAACGAATGCAGTGCAATGCTTCACATCATATAAGCACTTCAAGCAGAGTAAGACACATGCTGCTTTGGAGGGTGGATATGGAGTAGGAATTTGGAAATCACCCTGGCAGACATCTGCCAGTAAGCACACGCACTGCCTCTGCAACGTTCCCAAACCCTGCACGGGTCCTTCAGGGCACGCTGCAGGCGACCTCCTCTCAGGCGCTCTCCTGGAGGAGATTCTCCTAACTGATACAGGGAACTTGAAGTGCTGGGGTGGGAATAGCTGAATAAAAGCAGAGATGTATCATCTGCCAACAATATCCTTCCGCTCTTTTAACTTACCTTGCACCTCAAAGGAGCCATTGTCGTTGGGAGACCTCCTGACCTTCTCCACCAGCTGCTGTGTCTTTATTTTCATCTTCTCCTTCTGTGGATAACAGGAAAGAGCTCGGCACTTTCTCAGGAACACTGAAGGTCTGAGACACCCCTGCTCTCTTCCGAAATGCCCAGATAAAGGCTTTGTAATTAATAGCTTTACTCAATGTCCCTCACACAGTGTGTGAAAAGAGCTACAAAAAAGGACCCACTGCTCGCAGGACAGTGCTCAGAATACAGCAGCGAAGCAGCACACAAAGGTCTCAGCAGAACACAGAATCACCATTGTTCAAACCAGGCACACCCTTCGTCCCACGACTACAGAAGAAGGGCGTCGAAGAGGCCCCGCTGCTCTCATGAACGGGAGAGAGAACTGGAACTCATCTCACAGGAGCCTTTACTTTTTTGCATCTTTTTAAGCTTTAAGGGGTAAGCGGCAAGAAATGGCAAGATCTTTGTGCTACCTTACGGCTTGCTTACTTTGTTTTCTGAGCAAACAAAAGGTAATCTGAAGGATATCTGCTGTCCAGCGTGCTGTTTTCTAGAACACAGGCGAGCCACCAGCAGTAACATAACACAGCTCATCTCCCCATGATTGCCCAATATTTTCTTCTCTCATTTCAGTATGCAATTATTATCACAAAGAAGACTGCATGACAAATCTTAAGAGCATACAAGACTTATCACCCTCATGTAATAGCCCCAGATTTGTAGTCACCAAGCAACACTTAAAAATAAAGTAAGGGAAGGGCATTTAACAATACAGACAAGTCTTACACAAATGTGCTCACTAAATCTTCTAGGTTTTTTTATGCAAGTAGAATGAAACCAACCTGGCTTGCCATTTCCAGCGACAGCAGTCTTTTCACTACATCGTCCACACTGCAAAGAGATTGCAAATTAGTTTATAAGCTAGAAACGAAGTATATTTAACACAGAAATTAGGTTGGGTTTTCAGAACATATTAACTTTTCTCAGCTTTCATCTACCCTACAGATTTACAGCAACTCTCCTCCCCTCCCAAACCTGTCAGCCATAAACCGTTTCTTGCATTCCTAAGAAAAATCACGGCTGAGATTACAGAAGCCTCGAGTAGTTTTGCTGCTGTGGGAAGCACAGTTATTTCAAATGATGATGAATTCTTATCGATTCCAAAAACATTACGTGCCAATTGGGTGCTGAAGATTAACCCCCAAGTAAGCACGCAAGGACAAAATAATTAATTTTAAGACCTGCTCCTTCAAAGATCTGTGAAAGTCTCAGTTAGGCCACTGGGGGCTCTCCATGCACCACACATGAGCAGTTCTGGAATCAAAGCACAAAAATGCTCAACTCCAGGTCCAAATTTCAGAAGCAGCCATTCATTTCGAGTTGTTTAGCTACACCCTCTCTAGCACCTGAGCTCAGGACAGGCACAGATTGTTTCTAAGAAGATTCTTTCTGGTATTTCAAGATCACTTCTTTCTTCTAAGGACTACAAAGTCCGCAGAAGATGCGGGCAACCAGCATGAAACCTTACACTAAGTAAACAAAAACCTTACATAGCCCTAATCAATGACTGCTTTTGCAAATTTGAATTTCAAAGCGACTTTGCAATTTTTGCCCTAAATTGCATACCAGTGACGACAGAGCATGAATTAATTGCTGAGCAGGTGACAGCGTCCACGTATTACCACTGTGTATGTATAAGACACAAATCTCTGAAGAGAACAGTCATTCCCTTTCCCTGTATCATACCTATTTATTATTGGGACATTGGCATAATCTTTCTTCAACATCATGGGAGGGAGATCATCCAAATGGCTGGGGATGTCTACAAAGAGAAGATTAACACTTGAGGAAGAGCAGTACAGTCAGAGCTCTGAACGTGGTTGCAAACTAGATCAGAGGAAACAAGTTGCAAAGAAAATAGACTGTATGCTTCAAACAAGAAGGAAGAACTTAAGAGATCAAGGTGAGATGGCAGGAATTAAGTGAATAAAACTGGGTCCAGTCTCCTGCCTTCAGCACTCTGGATTTACAATGTGGCACATAGTCCACTGAGATTGGTGATCTCTTGCTAACGACAATTGCTATTTCCCACACATTCGCGATCTGCTGAATTTTCTGAGTAACTTTTGAGCTTGCAAGGAATTATTTTGAGAAGCACAGAACCACAAAAGGTTTACAATGGGACCTTATGAAGTTTCTAGTCCAACCTCCCCTTTAAAGCAGGACTGTCATCATTTCTCTGTCTAGCACAGCCTTGAACACCCCCGAGGATGGATGTTCCACAGCCCCTCCGTGAAGCATGTTCCCACGCTGTGCTGCCTTCCCAGTGAATCCTTTATCTTTTTTTTCCAGCTGGAACCTCTCCAAGCTGCTCTTTGGGCCCACTGCCCCTCATTATATCATTTGGCACCACCAAGAAGATTCTGGCTCCCTCACCCTTGTAATTACCCATCAAGAAGCTGCAGGATTGCAGAATCCTGCAACAGGGATTATATTGCCTCTCTTCTCATGAGGAGTTCTGCATCTTTAAAGTAAAACCCACTAGCTTCTTCAAAGACCCTCTCTTCCTGCAGGGTACAACTCTGATAATGTCAACAGTAAAACATTTTACCACGTGGTCCCATTAATCCTGACATACCTTTCCTCTTTCTTCTCACAGGTCTGGCGTAACATCTGGCTGTCTGAATAAAGGGACTGCAAGCTTGATGGAAGAAAACAAAGGTTTATCGGACTCGTGTGCACTTCTTAAGCTATGTACACCTTCAATACTGCTCAATCTGTACTAGAAAACCAGTCAGAGTACTGAGACTCCAAGGTGATGAGTGGCCAGCCAAGCCTTTTGTCCCAAAGGGGTGTTGAACAGTTTGGTACGGCTCTCCCACGGGTGCTAAAACAAATGGGCGAAGCTGTGCTGATTTGGGGTGATCTGAACCCAAACACGAGAAGAACAGAGCAGCAGGAAGAGATTACAGACACTGGGCAGAGAGCACGAGGGCTCCTCGGCTGAACTGAACATTTAGAGGGTTTAGACTGATGAACTAATTCAAGTAATTTCATGTGCGAGTTAGTCGGGCCGCTCTGGGCTACTCCAGTGGAGGAGCACAGAGGCAGCGAGACCCAGAGGCAACCTCGGAGCGGCACAGCTCGGTACAGATGAGAATATTCATCAGCAGCCTGAACCGAGCCGGCTTTTGACCTTTCAAGAACAAACTCTCCCGGCTGCTCTTTCAAGGCCCCTCTGCTGGAATCAGTACCTGCTTCAAACCCTTCACCTGTGCCTCAAAGGTGCTTTCCAGGGCAGGCTTTGCCGCCGCGTACCC